TCATGACAGCCCAGGAATGGGTACTATTTTAACCCCAGTTTACAAAGGAGGAAGGTCAGGCTCACCGAGGGAGAAGCAACTTTGCCCAGGATAGCACTAGTGGGAATGTGCCGGCAAAATCACGATCTCCAGATGAAGAACCTGGAGACCTTGCAGGATGGGGATTCCTAGTACAAGTGTCTCCACAGCACCAGGTGTAAGAATGTTCCTCCTGATGTTGAATTGAACTCTTGGAGGTCACAGGGAAGAGGTGTCTCCAGTGACACTCAGCAAGGGGAGGTTATTGGAAGGATTCATGGGTATGAGGGCATTGCTTGCCCCGGCTGGACAGCCGTCCTGGATCCCGGTACCTCCGAGGCTGGGGTGGAGAGCAGGTCCCTCACCACAACCCCAGACTAGGGCCAGCAGGTCCCGTGTTCACATCCCTCCCATGGCTCCTTGAGCGCCCCCGTTCTGACCCGACTCCTGATAACCATAATCAGGAGAAGTAGTAGCGTGGGTCACTAGCTGTGTATTAATCTCTATTCCAAAGCACTTACAAGTCTCATTTCCCTTAATCCTCACAACAAACCCATGAGGTCGGTACTACTGTCATCACCATTTTATAGCAACTTGGCATAAGTCACAAAGGAAATAGGAAAGGTGATAGTTGAACTCAGGACTCTCAGACTCCAAAGTCCCTGTCCCTAACCGCTCTGCGTACTGCCTTTACATCTACAGTGGGTTACGACTGCCTGCCTGGTAGGGGTGTAGTGAGCTCTCATAAGTCTCTGCACAAAAGGCCTGGCACGGGGGCTGCTCAAAGGAGGCACCCAGGCTGTGTTAGCAGAAGAGGGTACACAGCGCTAATTTCCTTGTAGGGAAATCTTTTGACTAAAACAGACAAGGGTCTCCTTGTAAACTCCAAAGCCTTAGACAAATAGTTCCCCCAGAGAGTTGTGTATACATTGGAGTTGCATTTTTGTTTATTTTGAACTGTCTTGTTAAGGAAGGATTTATATGCTGGCGCTGATGTAGGACAGCAATCAGGCAGTGTTTTCTGCCTTTGACAGTTGGTGTGATAGTTTGCTTCCAGTGAAGTTTGCCTCACTGTATCTGGAAGCTGTCAGAAGTGGGAGCATGAAAAGGTCATGACAGATGGCTGTGGATAAGTGGCTCGGGGAGGAGGGCTGGTAAAGGAGACAAATGGCCTCCCTTGTTTTCCGAGGGAAGGGACTGACCCTGGCCACTTTGGGCCGGCCCCCGTGCTCTCCTCACCTGCCATTGCTGCGGTAGGGTGGAGCCTGCCAGGCACCACTGCGAGAGAGGCACCAGGTTGGGCATAAGGCAGCGCGTGGGAGCCCTTCCCAGCAGTGAGTCCCTTGGGTACTTGAGAACTGCCAGAAGGAAGTGATCACTTTTCATGATGGTCAATTACAGGACTCAGCCATTCTCCATTTCCCACGTTCTAAAAGGCGGGAAAGGGGTACTGAATTCTGAAGTTGAAATGGATAAACATGTCGACTTCTAAACTCATTTGTTTTTATTTTCGGTGAAATTTTTATTTTGGAAAAGGAAAGGATGTAACCCTGCTAGCCAGAGTTGACCCCTGTCAACCAATTTGGAGCATATCCCTTTCATCTCTTCTCTATAAATATTTTTCTGTCCTTTTCACATAACATCATAAGAATTTGTCCGAGTCAAATCTTTTCTTACACATAATTTTCATGGTCGTGTTGTGTTCCATCATGGTTGGATTAACTAATCCTCTATCGTTGGCCATTTAAATTGGAGAAATGTAAACTTAACAAAAGCCAACTTCCTTTGTTTTCTTGGGTGTATATTTATAATTTGAATTGCTTAAAAATAATGCATGAGTAACAATTTTAAGCAGTGCTTCTGCCTTTCTTTCAGTGACTTTACATAAAAATTTTAACCAGGGAAATCAAAACTATGTTCAGCGGTCAAAAAAACATATTGATAGGATTTCATGCTCAGTTTGCCATGTATGAACAAAAATAGGTGCTTATCTATTGGCACATTTGAATATTTATTTGTTCCTTGGTGATAACTGAGAGAGGACACGAAGGACTGGGCAGAGTTTCCTATTGTCTTCTTAACCGAATGCGGCCGTGCAGAGCTGTGGAAAGTACTGTACTTGGGAACCAGAAAGCACTGGGTGTGGAAAATGGCTTTTCCAGCTTAAAGCTCTCCACCCTTACACAAGCACCTTTACCTCTCCTAGGGTGTATTATGTATTAAACACCTAGCACGGTTCTTTCAGGGCCATGCAGTGGCTGAGAACATAGATCCTGGAACCAGATTACCTGGCTTTCTTCAAATTGCAGCTTTGCTACTTGTTAGCTGTGTGATCTTGGGCAAGCTACTTAACCTCCCTGTGTTTCAGCTTCCTCATCTATAAAATAGGAATAAACATAGTAACCAGCTTCATAAGGCTGTTGTGAGACCTGAATCAATGCACACAAAGGATTTCCAGCCATGCTGGCACATAGTGGTCCAGTTAACGTTCCCCCCTCTTTCCCCCTGGCCTGGACTGTGGCACCAGCCTCCTAACTGCCCTCCTGTCCACCAGGTTGCCTCCTTCCAACCAAGGACCTCTGGCTCCCAAGCCAGGGACGGAAGAGGTCTGTGTGTGCTTCCAGGCTGGATTCTGCAGACTTTTTCTTCAGCAGTGGGGCCTGGGTGTGCTCAGGACCATGGGTTCCGGCTGTGGACTGTCTCAGGCCCTCCAGGACTAACAGCAGAGGGCTGCCACTTCCCCAGCAAGAGCGAACAGGAGCCTGTGGGGCTGCGGGCCCTGCTTTAAGGAGCTGAGACTCACACACACACACCTCAAGTAGGGTGAGATGATTTCATGTACAGAACGATTTTTCCCATCAGGGAAGATTACCCTACAGGTTCCTTTAAATAGCGACTCCTCTAGGCAGGTGATTGTTTTATAGATCATTAACTACTTGGCTGAAAGCCTGCAGGGCAGAGAAACTTAAAACTGAAGTGCTGGGGGCCCCTGCCAATTACAGATCAATCCAAAATGAAGATCAAGTATCTCTGGAACTAGAAGTCAGTGGGAAATGTGATTTGATTTAGAAAAATCTGATTTACACGTAACTTTTTTGGAGCACACCAATTGTTTAAATGGTGTTCCCACCTGCTTGCCCATCTTGAACCTAATGCATTCATCTCCCACGTCTTCATCCCCAAACCCCAGACTTGGGACTCTCCTCTGTGACCAGCGACTGCACAATAGCCCCCGGAAAGGACGTCATTGGGAAGGCATTCTTGTGGCCAGAGCTTAGGCAGTTGATTAGAGATACAGCCCGTAATGGATGAACTATACAGTAACAATTTGCAGATAAAAATAATAGAAGTTAAAGTGTACTTTACATGATAAAAGAAAGATGAAAGAGGATGAGAGCCTGTTACATCTGAGATGGTTACAAAAGTCCTGCTTTGTGAAGTAGGCTCTGTTGAAAAGATTGATGCAATGGGGAGTGACCTTGGCTTGGAGCAGGAGCTGGTGATGTATGTATGAGCGTCCCTCTGCTAAATGGACCCAGATTTGTAGCACTAATATACATGGGAGCCCAGAACCAAACTCAGTACGGCAATAAATCAACAGCCACTTTGGGTGTCATTTCTGGTTTATATTCCACTATTGTTCTATCACTTTAATTCATGTCACTATCATCTTTTCATCTGGAACAGTTTTATATAATTTTCCAGTGGAGTTACCTGACAAATCCTATCAAATTAACAAGGGACATTAACAATATTGACTGACTACGACTTCAGGAGTTGCAGGGCCGTAGAACAAAATTTTAAAACCGTGTCTCCCTGGTGATTTCCCCCCCCCCTCTTTCTGCGAAAGAAACGTGGGCAGGGTTTATTCCACATAAGAGATATGCACATTTATTTTGCTCTGCTCATTTTGACTTTTATAAACGTCAAAATAAGCAGGGGAAAAAAAAGCAGAAGAAGGAGGGGGGACCCCCCCAAAAAAAAAAAAACGCTACCAGAAACCGTGGTGTAAGTACTTTTCTTCTGTCAGGGAACTATAGAAATGTCCAGATCTTTAACAATTAATGACCAAATTGGAGAGAAGAGTATAACTGGGTAGTCGTAATCTATTTTAAGTGAAATGTAATAAAAGTGGTCTCCTGATGCCTTCTCGCCCTCCTGAAATCATCTAGACCTGAACGTCCAGAGTCAATTGGACTTATGACATTATGCCTAATTGAAATATGGTGTTCCTGAAATATGTCTAATGACAAGTTCCAGCATTCGATTAATAAAAAAATACCAATTGTTCGTCTTTTCCAAAGACCACCGAGTAATGACCAGGGGTTAAGCGACCGTACTGCATTTTCTCCTCCGAAGACAGCAGACGGGACCTCACCATGGTCTGGCTGTCGTCCCCTGCCTTTGTCTGACTGCTGTTTGAGATTTCTTTATTCATAAGATAAAATAGAACTGGAAGGAGCATGTGGCAGACCTGATCACTAGAATTGTGTTGGTATTTGTTTTCTTTTTTAATTTTAAATTTGCTCTCCTGCTATGGACATGGTGGGGTTTCTTGTTTTTTTGTTACTGTGTTTTAACTGAGCTGTTTCTTTTATCTCCTTTTTCTTTTGCCCTACTAAGTTTTCTCACATTGTATTGAAGAATCTCTAAGTGTGATTCATAGGATGAAATATGTTAACTATATTGTATCTGTGTTAAACATCTAAGAAGGCATATTTCTTAATAGTTTTTGTATAGTCTTTGGATGCCCCCTCCCCAACTCTCCCACCCAGGAAACCAGACTGTGCAACTTCTGTGACCATTTGGAGTCTCCGTATGTGTGTCTTAAGCCCATGGCATTTCCCCAGACCCCTAAGAGAACGCTCATGTTCATCCAATTTAGGATTTACAAAGCAGGTCAAATGATGATACTGAAATCACTTACACCTTCCACTTCCTGTGGCTTCTTTTTTTTTTTTGTCCTCCCCTCGGCCTTACAGGTATCTCTGGAGACAAAGTAGAGATAGACCCTGTTACGAATCAGAAAGCCAGCACTAAGTTTTGGATTAAGCAGAAACCCATCTCAATCGATTCTGACCTGCTCTGTGCCTGTGACCTTGCTGAAGAAAAAAGCCCCAGTGAGTAGTCCCTTTTATTTATGTCTCCTCTCTCTCTACCCCCTCTTCCCCTCTGTGTGCTGGGTGCCAGGAGAATATATTACCACCGTGTCCTTTTTTCCTTGGGTCTGTTTAATTCATTACCAGAAATTTCTTTTAATCAAACGGGATTGTATTATGGTACACAGAGCCTGCCATGGGTCCCCATCCTGTTCCGTCCTGATGGCAGCAGAGAACCTCACAGCTCCTGACCCCAGTAGCCCCACTCCGGGAGCTGGGGGGGGGGGGGCAGATTCCTGCTGCGAACCTGCAGTCACCAGAGCCCTCCTTTCCTTTGTGCTGCCTTCCTCTTGCCGTTGGCGGACTTGACCAGTTAGATCTGGCTCTGCCTTCCTTCCTTGCCAGATCGAGGGAAGCTGGGAGATTTCCTGTGGCAGCTGAAGACTAGATTTAGATATCCATCATGCCGGAAGTGTCAACACCCTCCAGATTATTGGCAGTTGCACGACCTACCGGCTTGTAATTAAACTCCTGCCTGGTCCTGCAGAAGAGATGGCTGCTGGGTTGGCACTCTGTTTAAATTATGAAAGTAGATACAGTCTGGTTGTATATTTTTGGCGTATTATATTTTTGCAGTTAAGTAATTGAGTGTAGCAGTTAGATTAATCATTTTTAGGACTTCGGTCCCATCATGGAACAGAAAGGACGCAGATCACACTGGAATTCCTCCATGGAAGAATGACGTTTAAACTCTATAAGGATTTGTTAGGTGCCTGGAGAAGGCTATGCGACGGTGGTTCTAAGCCTGGCACATACCAGCATTGCCCGTGGAGTCTGTATAAAATGCACTTACCCACAGCCGACCCCAGTGGGTTCTGATTTGGTAACTTGGAGTACGACTTGAGCATCTGATTTTCGTTAATCCCTTTTTCCAGTGTCCACTAAATTTGGGAACAAATGTTATGAGGAATGACATACTCGAAAGGAGCAATAAGAAACGTCAAGGCCAGCAAGTGTTTATAATATGGTTCAAGTTTTTGAGATAATACTGACCAAACGGGCCCAAAGAGCACAGAGCCCCTGAACAGACTGGGCACATGCCACATTGCCTCATTAATGGGTGGGCATTTCACTGTTTTGTTAAATCCAGCTCTGCTGGGCTGCAGTCTCCTCCTTTCAACTCTGGCCTACAGCTTGGCAAGAAGGGAGAACTTAGTGGTCAAGGAGGAAAAGACTGAGCCACGCCCACCCCACTCCCGGCCATTCCTGTCATCCCAGGGAGGCCCCAACTCTGTGAGGGCGCTGCTGGAAGGGCTGGCAAGAATGCTACCTGCTGCTCTGGGGCCCGCGCCCCAAGGCTGCCAGATTCCAATCCCTCTCGCTCCAGCTTGTCAGCCAATAAAGATGTTGTCTAGCATCATTCTTCCCAAGAACTCAGGATACTTTGAAAGTAACATTTTATAAATTTTCCGTGTGTCTGAGAAATGAAAGAGTACCACTTGCATGTTGCATAGAGGGATAAGCTGGAGTGGAAAGGTTAGGGCAAGAACTAGAAATGGGGTTCAGGTTCCCCTCACATCGAGACACTCACTGTGCCAAGGAACTCTGTGATTCAGGCTCTGGAAGGTGGACGGTGTAACACGTCCAGCCTAGTAGGGAACGAAGAAAAGATGCACAGCTACCACCTCCTAGTTGCCTCTTGGGATCAGTCACTCAAGAAATTAATTATTACATCTCTGTGAGTGAGGCCAGTTCCAAGCATTGGGGGTGCAGAGTAGATGTGGGCCCCACCATTTCAGTATTGACAACCCAGCAAGAGAGTCTTTTATCTTCTCAGACCTACAGGATGATTCTTTGTGAAAAACCTGCATGTGGTTCTTATAGAGGTTTCCTCCCTCACTCTGGCTCCAGAGATCTGCAAATTATGACACTTTCCTGAAAAAGGAGACACACACCCCCGGAAAATACTTCCTAAGTCTTTGCCATTAGCACAGTGCTTTTGAGACCATGTTCCTCAGAGCTCTATGTTCTCAGGGGACCTCAGGAGCCTGTGTGCGTGTGTGGTGTGTGCATGTGTGTGTGTGTGTGTGTGTGTGTGTGTGTGTGTGTTAGGACCAAGTTAGGCATAAGGCTTCTTCTTCAACCAAAAGAGCTCTACTTTTTTCTGTATTAAGATTCTGCATTTAAAAATCCAACTGATAAAAAGGATTTTGCTGCTTTAAAAAAAAGGTCTGAAAGTTACAGGCTTATAGAATAAAATTCAGACTCCTCAGCACAGCCTCTACAGATGCTGACCACTCCAGGCTTATAGGCCGTAATTTTTTTTTTTTTTAATTGGGAAACTGGGAGATGGGAACAGCGCTGGGGAATTGGGGGGAAGGGGAACAGACAAGTTGCTGTCCTTTGGTTCTTCAGTCTAGTTGTGGAGGACGTTGCTTCACTGCCCCAAGTTGGCACCATCATTGCGCTCTTCCCGGGCGAGGCAGATCAGTCGCCAGCTTCTGGATGCCCGCTCACTGTGGCTGCTGGATGCCCGCTCACTGCGGCTGCTGACCGCTCACGCTGGCTGCTGGCTACACACGGTAGCCCATGGCAACCCACTGCAGCAGGGACTGCAGCCTACGCCGTAGCTGGCTACTCCCGGCAGCCCAGCTCCAGGTTGAACTGTTGTTCAGCATCTTAGCTGTAGAGGGCAGTGTCACTGGCCCTCATATGTGGGATCCGAACCGGGGCCCTCTGGCGTCCCAAGCCAGCTCTTAACCAACGCGCCACTTGGCCGGCCCTCATAGGCCGTAATTTCACCTCCTGAACTTGGGATGTGACTAGTGTGAGCTACTTGCACACAAACACATCTCACAGCCTGTGCTTCCACCGTTCCCCACTGCCTGGCGTCACCCCCACCCTCACCCTCTAATCTATGGACACCTCCACTTCCCCAGGCCCAGCCCACTCATTTTTCAAGATCCAATGTCAGGCTCTCTGTGACTTCGCCCCCGGAGTTTGCACACCTCTGGGAAAGCACCTCACACACTGTGCTGTGTGTATCTGTTTGGGGCCTGCCCCTCTCTGCCACCCCCCATCTCCATGCTGTGTCCTCAGCTCCTAGCACAGCGCCTGCAGCGTTGTCCTCGGTGACTATCTCGAAATTGAACTTAATGAGGCTAGAACTTAGAAACCAAAAGCTACTCAACGTAATTCATGTTGTAAAATGCCCAAAGATGTAGTAAATGAATCGGTTTGATGCTGTGTTTTTTGTTGTTGTTGTTGTTGTTTTATGATTTCCAGTATCTTCATCAAATTAATTCAGTGAGTTAATGTAAAAAGTTCATCTTCGAGACCATCATCAGACCACAGAATTAATCTATAGGGCTGCTGTTGCTGCTGCTTTTTTAAAAGGATTAATAGTAACCCTTTTTATCTTTTATGTCTGTTGAACCTTAGAAAAAAGTTATTTTAACAGCACTAAAGAAATGAAAGTCACTATATTTCATAAGTTTAGCCTGCGATTTTTATCAGCATAGTGATGTATGTTTGTAGCTGAGTTTACATCAAAAATTATTCTTGGGGCCTTCTTGAATGAATTATGGCAAAGAGAGAGAGTCTAGAAGTAGATAAGGTTTTTGATTTCTGCAATATATTTCCTTTTTCATGTTTTTATCTCTCTTAACACAAGTGTCTTGCCAAAGACTGGAACGTGTGACCAACTGGAATAATTTAGTTGTGAAAACAGAGCGGACGTGTTATTAAACAGCCTTCTTTACAAAAAGGCATTAAGTGTTGGGAGGATAATGAAGTTGTTCTCGGTCTTACTTGAGACGTGTTTGTCAGAATTTTGAACAAAAAAAGAAATGGTTTTTAAAACCTCCGAATATGGCCAGTATGCAGTGTTTATTGAGAAAGCCACTGTCAAACCATTAATTTGGTCGTCATAAGGAACACCACTCAAGTTTAATTGATGCCATATCCAAAAAGTATGTGAGTAGCTGAGTTGGCAAAGGGACTGAGCCTTGGAGCACGTGCCGTGAAACACATAATTACCCATAGTGTGGAATCAGACCCCGACTCAGAAGCCATGCTCCATAAATAGCAGCTCTGTGGCTCTTTCCTTCCACAAACTTCTCCCTCTTAGGCCATTTTCTCAGAGGGAAGATTTATTGCTCTGTCCCCGTGAGTGTTTAAGAACCTGAAACTTAATGACTAAATAGATACATGCCTTTAAAAAAGCCGAACCAATAAATATGGACTCTTACAAGAGTTCGTTGTGGAAATCTGGGTATCAAAAGCCCTGAGGAATTAAGAATAAATTATGCCTTTTTAGTTTTTTTGGTTTTGGTTTTTTTTTTTTAAAGACATGTGCTGCCATTATTATTCAAATCTGTGATTTCTCAGTCTGGTTTTGCTACACCTTAGGATATCTTTTGCTGTTTTGAAGGCTGTCACAAACCTCTAAAAGATAGATAAATGTTCATTTATTTTAAGCAAAGATGTGTACGGCACATAGGAGAGGAAAATGTTTCCATACCAGAAACTACCATGGTTAAATTGTCTCCGAGAAGTAATTCTCCATTGTTGTACAGGTCTAGACATAGGCTTTGACTACACTAGGCTCTCTTTTTAACAGCTAGCCTCCAATTCCAACGCTGAAACAAAAGCATGGGGCCTTTCTGTGAAACTAGCACCCAGCACAAACCCTCGGCTGGATTTAAATCAAATACCAGACTCAGCCATGCCAGGTCTGGTTTCATCATCAGAAGGTTGTACAGGTTTCACGTCTTTAAAGGAAGCTATCATTAAGAAATCAGATTTAAACCTTAATAAAGTAGCTGTCGTCTTTATAGCTGAAAAGAGCTCTGTATCTCAATTAAGTAGAGATAATATAAAACCTTAAGGAAGCAACGTAATAGAGATAACCTGATTACATTCTCTTGCAATAGCCTAATTTAAAGGAAATCTGATTCCGTTGATGCTGGTTCTGTTGGTGGGGGATTGTTTGTTTGGTTTTTTGTTTTTCCCAAAACGCT